TAATAACTTCATATCGATAAAATTATCCGTGATATCTCCATGCCCTTGGAAAGATTATTTATTTATTTTTTAAATCGTTCAAGATATATCATGCGAAGGAGTTAGAAATTTATTGATATTTACATGACTCAAACATAGTAGAGGCAAATGCAAGACGGAAAACTCTCATTTGGACATTCCGAGTCACTTTGAGTGAGGAGTGAATTATCTATATACATGATGTCAAGTGTCTGTTATCGAGTCAATGGTCAAAGAAAAAACCAGCCATGCAGTATGCATGGAATTTCTCTAGTTAGAAGAGCTGGTCCGCCATTATTTCGAGCCATTCGAATGGCTCCGAATGAGAGTTTTCACCCTTGATTTAAATGGTATTCTTTAAAATAAAAACAAACTATTTAAAAAAATATATTTGAAATTAATGTTCTATGGAAAGGTAAATATAAAGAAATACAAATGTTGGATAATTGCGATTTATTCTTGTTAAAATATCGTAATTTATTTGAATGAAAAACAAATACTTGTTCTTTTGGAGTAAAAAAAAATATTTGAGAATCACTTGAGCGATCCTCGAAAAATGAGAATAAAGAATAAGCAAAAACAATTCAATGTATGATGATAAGAATGTAATGTAAAATTCTTTATTTTTTATTCAAGATTCTATATGCATGGCATAGTTGTCTTTCTACAAGATGATGCATATTATTTATATCGTTAGTTTCTTCAGAACTCATTAAAATTAAATAAAAAAACAAAAAAACATTTAAAAAACTCTTTCCCTTATCCGAACTGGTAAAGAGTTCTCTATGAAATAAGTGTATTAAAAAAAAAGATTTGCACGCATGAAAATCTTATTTTGCATCTTGACTTCTGGAAATTTTCTGAACTGTAAAGTTTGCAGTTGCAAAAATGTTTTCATTGATGTACTTTCAGTTGACCGTATATCTTTAAAAATTTTCATAGAAATCCGATGCACTGCATCGAAAAACGATTTTAGAGAGGGCACAGGCGACCTTAACAATGCATGTTACTTATTCGTGACATTACTATTTATAAGATCAATATTTATTATTCTAATGAAAAGCTTACTCAAAATGATAAAACATCGAAAATAACTGACGTGCTTATTTTTTCCTTTTATAAACGTCTTACCAATAAAATTTGTTCATTTTGAAGAAATAAAATCATTTTTTTTTCCTTTTTATTCTAACAAGTCATCACTAGAAAATAGAGAGTTTTCAAGTATTTACTCTATTATATTTTCTATAAATGTCTTATTTAAATTTGTTAAATTACTTACGACCGAACACATTCATATAAAACAAAACAGCAATAAGTATTCTACTCAATTATTTTTTACGTTTGCATCTAACTAACACAAGCTTATATATTAAAAACATAATTGAAAGATTTACAGGGACGAAACGTACCTTTAACAAATTGATAAGATTTCAAAAATGTACAAAAGTCTCAATAAATTCTCTACTAAAAATAACAAAGTAGGTGTTATTAAATAATCATTCATTTATACGTATAAATCTATTTTATTTTTGATTTCACAGACATCTTACTCATATACAAGTACTAGTAATGTTGTTCTATCTCAAAAAGCAACTCGATTTTGGATACCTTTCGATGTAAAACTTTTTGAAAGTAAAACATCTATTATTAAACAATACGAAAAAAAAACCAGACGAATATTCTTGTTTAGCACTTACACCTAAAGAATATTTAGGAAAATATTATCGAGTTAATCCTCGTCAATATACACTTTATAAACGTATTTTTGATAAACATAAAAATATTGAAACAGAATTAAACATAGAGGTAATAAATAAAAAAAAATTTTCTTAATGATATTGTTAAGATTTTTTGAATATATGGAAATTGATAGGCCCTTGCTGATGCGTTATTTGATGTATATATGGGTACTATGGATAATCGACTTATAAGACAAGTGATTACTTTACTTGATTTATCATCAAATGAAAAAATAACATTGAATCAATTTATTGGTATTGCAGCATTTTCTGAAAGATATTGTTTTAAAATATTCAGGTGAATTAATTATTTATTTGTTTTTATAAAAATTATAAATAAAATTTCTTTTAATTAGACAATTTGATGATATAGATTCACAATTACAAAAAGATATTTTAGAAATACTTGATTTTTCTTCATTAAAATGGAAATTATTTGGTGTTAATATTTCGCCAACACTTCGAGAAATTCTTAAATTGATATAAAAATTTAGATTTTTTTTTAAAGGTTATACTTTAAAAATAAATTAAATATTTTAATTTTTAAATATAAATACTCATACTAAGATTTTAATCTATGCAACAAAAGAAAAAACAAAAGGAAAAGCTTGTAATGGAATTCAAATTAATCGATTTCCATTCATCGAACAGATACATTATCACTTATATAGCCAATAATGGAAAAAAGAGCTATTATTTCATAAAATACATGAAATAATGCATTTTAATTAATTATTTCCCCTATTTTTAATGGATTGCAATGCATTATCAATAATTCATTGAATGCCAATGTATTATGATGTATTACTGGATATAATGTTGAAATTTTTAATAATACAGTAAAGTCTTAACGCCTTATTTAGGGTAATATCTTAAACTTCGAGAACTCATTATCTTCCTAAACGAGAGATTGAGAAAAAAATGCATCGTACGTATGACGACTTATTTACGCTTTATTGTCAGACAGACTTATAAAATGGACTCAAACTAACATGCTTGTGACATACGTTGATAGTAGGCTTGAAATAGTTAAGAAATTCTAGAGAATACCTTGAAGTACGACAAAGTGCAGAATTTTTCCTTTTTCCTCCTTGGATTCAACGCAAATCATTTTGCTTCAAAAATCTTGTTTTGTATATTTATTAAGATCATCGACCTTATTTTCATCTATCATATAGAAAGACGACGATCTGTCGATTATTATTACTATATCAACACTTGTTTGCAATCTCTTGTCAACAAAATAATATAGCACAGACTGTCATCTAGTACATATGCCACCAAACTTCACAACGATACGGTCAAATCACATATTCCTAAATGTGTAATTACGAATCTTAAATCAGAAGGTATCACAATTGTGCCACAAGCACCTAATTCTTTGAAATTGGCATCATTCAACTTTTCGCTATTCGACTTGATTAAACGTAATCTGACTGATGAAAATGATTCTGAATCGTTACATGGCGCTATAATCACAATAATGAATTCGTTCAGTAAAGATGGTTATAGAAAAACTTTTGATAAATCGGCTTGTTCACGTAACGCGTCACCTTCAATGCCGGTAGTTTGAAAAATCAGCTCTAAATATCACCAGTATTATTCGATATAATAAGAGAGAAGATATATAAAAGCTATTTGAAGTTTTCAGAACATGAGATTTAACTCGCATTTATTCACCATTGTGGATACGCTAATAGCAGAAAAAGGGTTTTATTTTTCTAATTTTCGTCACCGCGTAACGTTAATGTGACCAAAGTTTCATTATGAATGAGAGACCTTTTCGAAAAAAACTTTTTTCATATTAATACTCCAAAGTGTTTACTACAAATCTATTGTGAAATATTTTGTTCAAGATAGTATACATTTGGAAAAAAACAAAGAACGAGTACAACACTCTCAAATTTTTGTCCCTTGTCTATCATCGCGTTACGCTGTATATTTTTGCTATGATTTTCAGAATGGTTTGCTAAATAAACTCAAATTTACCGGATTCCAAGAGTACATAAGGTGACACATCTTCTGACGAAAAAATCAAATTTCTAAGTGATTTTGTTGCTGAGAAAATTTGGAGACACAGCAGAGAAAACGTCATCGCGTTACGCTTGGACAAGCCGAAATGAGTTGAACTGATGAAGATGTCTGTTAGTAATCAAGATTACTATTTCGATATTAAATGAAATAAAAAGTCATGCATATATAAACTCAGAAGTATACAGAATTTAGCTAATTTTATACAAATCGAAGATTTTCACGATGAACATAAAATCTTAACAAGTGTAACAACCATTAGTTTTGATTTTGATAATATTTCTTGAAATGTTATTGATGGAAAAATCAATTTGATTACTACTTTAAACAAAAAGAATTAATTAAAAGAAATTTCGGTTGTATTATTCTATCTATACATTAGTGACGAAGGTAGATTTTAGCTCAAGATGGGTTCATGGTGAATTGAACCCATCCTAATTCATACAATGGGATTATTTTAACATAGCTTTCGAAATTTCTTTAGGTGCCATCCTGAGCAACTGTTGTATCCACTATTACATCACATAGAATTGTTCTTGATGAATTCTATCTTTTAAGTTCTAATTAGAATTTAATAATTAATGAAGTATTAAATAATCATAGTTATAAATTAAAAAATAGAAATCAGACAATATTGGGAATATGAAATATTAATATTTTATTTGATGAAATAAATAATCAAAAAAATAATAAAACGTGTTTTTTTTGCAAATAGTAAAAGTACAAATATATATTGATGTTACTTTGTCATCACATTTTTAATTTCCTATTTTTTTTGTCTTGAAAATAAAGTATGTCTACATATAAAAAATAATTTCATTTCATTGAATTTCTTTTCAATTTTTTTATTTATTTAAATGTCATTTCACTATAAACAATGGTTTTATTTCTTATTGAAGTATATTTAATTGAGGTTTTTTTTCTCTTCTTTTACTCAAGAGAAAATGCGTGACATAAAAGTAGAAAAATCAATATGGTTTTTCTCGTCTTTTTCTTATCCTTGTCAAGAAAACAAGAGATGATTAGAAATGAGAAAACATTTCTGACGACTCTATCTGCAATGACATATGCGGATAGTTCGTAGGTCTATTGAAAAAAAAATTATGAACTAACTATCTTATTCTGTCTGATGAATCAAGTAAATTAAAGAGATTATTTACTAAGATAAATTTTTATATTTACTTCTAATATTTAATATGCAAGACAAATCCGATGAAACTTGATATTACAGAAACAACAAGAATCATTCAACATACTCGACAATCGACATATGATGATAATCAAGAGATAATATGGCCAACTACCATTGGCATATTTGTTGCATTAGCATTAGGATGGATGATATGTCGATATAAATGTTCTTCACAAGAAAGATCTCCACATGTTGTTCGATGTTGTCCAAAATCATTATGTAAAAGAATTCGATTATGTTGTATATGGACATTTAGGTATTTTGTACAAAGAAGAAACATACTTTGTTTTAGTTTTTGTAAATTAAATAAAGTTTATTTAGATATAATAATGAATCACACCGACAACAAAATTCAAGTTCTGATTTACGAATACAAATCAATAAAGAAAGGTATGATTTAATAATTCATTTATTATTCTTATTTTGACTTTTATTTTTCAAGAATATCGAACCAAAGTCTATTAGAAATTCCATTTATGGAAAATAATTCAACAACACATCATTCCTCATCTCTTACACAATCTTTCCAACAATGGCCACAACCATTTCTTTTAAATAATAATCAAGAACCATCATTTCCTTTATCAATATCAATCCAATCAACAATAAATTCGTCACAACCTAAAAGACATCCATTACGTCTAAAATCAATATCAACTGAAACAGAACATAGTAATGAAAGACGTTATTCATCACCATGTCCATTTCGAGCAACAAATATGGATTTTCATGAACAAACAAATAATATTAAACAGGATCATCTGTTCTTTAACACTTAAATGTATAAGAAGTTTTCAAAATAAAAACAAAAAACAAAACACATCTAGTCATTGTAATGTTGTTCATAATGTCAATAGGTCATGTACTTGCTGCTATATACAACAGGGGAAATAAAATAAATGAAAATTGAAGTTTTTTTTTTTCCTTCTAACATTTTTCAAAGTTCTCTATGACACATAAGACATGCTACTTAAGGTTTCAACTCTAGTTTTTGAATGTTGACACAAACATATGGAAGTTTTATTTGACGTGATAAAAACCAGACCGATCAGAGAAGTTTATTTCTAAATAGAAACAGAGTTATGAATTATTAGTACAAAAACAATATATATTTCAATATACTATGAAGAATATGATAGTGGTCGCTAATCTATGGTTGAGATTTGTATTTAAAAAATTCTCTATCATCTTTTATTTTTCTTCTTTTGTGTTTTATTTAAATCAAATCTTCACACTGTTTAATATCAATTTGATATAAAATTCGCAACAATATATGAAGGCTATAATCTTCTTTTTCTTTGTTAACATTAATTTTTGATTAAAACTAAATTGTCTTTTTTTATGTTACATTCAATAAAATGTCAAATAATGATCAAGTAATTATTTTTAATTATATATAAAATATATCTTGATTTTTAATATAATTTTAGTTTCAATTTTATCTTTATCATCCATATTTAAATCAACCTCATCGATATACACGTCAGATTATTTATATAAATGAAAAGACAACATGTGAAGAAATTTTAGGACGTTATGTATCTGATTCAAATACTGCTCGATTAATAGAAACATGTTTTGAATTTGGTAAGAAGATTTTGATCTATGTATTAATAGAAAAATAATTTTTTTTTTTTTAGAACGAGAAATTCCATTAGATGATTGTTTATTTAATGTAATAACTCGTAATAGATCAATTGAAGAATTCAAAATTATTGTACGACATATACATGGTATGTTAGCGATTCTTTTACTCTGAAATAAATATTGTTACCTCTTATAGAGAATGTAATTTGATCAAGAACTAAAAAGCTTTCTCGTCTCTTTTTTTTTGTTCTCTCTTGATAATAACATTAATTTTTCTATTCTCTCAAGTGAGTTACTACTGTTGTTGTATTAAATAGAGAATTTCTTTTTTCGTTCTCATTTTCTTCTTTATACTGATCGTTGTTATTGACCATAAGAGAACACGACAAATAACAGGAGTATTTTTTGGTAGAAATCGATGAACGAAGAAAAAAAAACTTGACCTCTGTATCATTGTCTATACTCATCTTCGATTCTTTTTGATCTTCCTTTCATATTGTTAGACAATCATCATTCTCAATATCATCAACGACGACGAATAACGATGCGTTCACCTTTGGTCAATAATAATCATCAATCATCACACGAGTTCATATCAAATCAATATCAAACAAATATTAATCAAGTAAAAAAAAAAAATTAATTTTTTTTTCTAATTTTCAAAAAAAGAAAATCAATTTTTTAAATTTTAGTCAAATGTAAATAATCAATTAGTGAATTATTCATTATCAGAATTACAAGAAATAACTGTTCATCAACAAGAACAAATTGAACAAAATAAACAATTATTACTTGCACGTGAACAACATCTTCAATATCTTAAACAACAACAAACAATACAACAAAATTTACGTTTTAAACACCATATTGAACAACAAGAAATCAAACATTTACGTTTAAAAACACTTCAAAATCAAATAAATCAACAAAAAAATTCAAATTCAACAATTGGTTTGTTTAAAAAATCAAATATTTTCTCTTTATATAAATTCAAGTTTTTTTTTAGAAGATGAATTAGAAGTATTAAAACAAATCTTTTTAAATAAAGAACAAGAATTAACAATAATATTAAATAAAGTTGATGAATTAACAAAACAACTTGATCAATTAAGAAAATTAAAAACAACAACAAATCAAGAACAATCACAAAATAAAAATGAATTAGATAAATTACAACAAGAACTCATGGTAAAATTATTTTAAGCTCTTTCAGAACAAAACAACTTTCATTTTTTCATCGGATTTCAACGAAAATTTCAGAGAATATTAGTCTTGGCCAAGATAGATTATCAGTAAAATATCTCCGTTAAATCTCCAAAATACTAACGAGTTATAGTCAATTCATTGATCAAAAGTACTCTTTATGCAGGCAAGGTTCTCAATACGAGGATACGAGCTAATATGTCGAGGTGGTTTTGTTTTTAAGTTTTAGAGTACACTTAGAGCTAAATCGTAATAGTGCTCGATTTTTGAATTTTCCTTTTGTTTGTTTTTGAATCAAACTTTTTTGAAAAAATCTCAAATTCATGACTGAAAAACAATCGTTGATTAAAACCAAAGATCTAAATTTTTTGTATCAACAAAACAGATATTCAAAAGTCAAGTTCTATTACACCTATTCCTAACTGTTTATTGTGTATTTTAAAAAGCAACATTACTTTTATATTGAATCGTTATTAAGAAAAGTTTGCTCGTATAAACTGTATATGCGAAAAAACTGATATTGAGAAAAAAGAAAAATAATGTTTTTGAGATGGCGTCTGTGCAGATATATCACATCACTCTTAGGAGTACGTGTCATACCAAAGTTGGATTATAGTTCCTTATATGTAGCTGTAGATGTGGGTGAGACCTATATTCTATCCACATCCTTCTTTTGTTATCAAAAAAATCATTCCAAATTAAAGCTCATTCCAAAGACTATCAGAATATGTATAAATCTTGAAATCGAGTTTTTCTCGAAAAATTGGCTTTTCTGAGAGGGGTGATCCCGTAGGGAAATCTTTGTTTTGTTTTTGGTAAATTAAAAAAAAATTCATTTAGATACGAAATAAATTAAATGAACAACAAAATCGTAAAATTACATATCAACGTGAAATAATAACATTGAAACAAGCTGAATTAAATCAATTAGATCGTCGAATAGAAGAACTTCAAAAACGTTTGAAAATGAAAACAACATCTCATCCAACAAAATCAACATTTGTTGATACATTTACATCATCAAATGGTTTTAAAACTGTTTTAGATACTGTACAAAATACATTAAATAATATTAATATAGCTGAAATTGAAAAACGTATGGTACAATTAGCAAATTCATTTAATTTAATTAATACGAATGGGTCTTCATTTGCAAGTCAAAACGATCAAATTAATAATTCAAATAGTCCAAAAAAGGTTAACTTATAATTCTTCACTGTTTATCGAATTTTACAGCATTTTTTCTAACAATTAAACATTTGAAATCAATTAGAAATACTGGTTAAATGTGAGCGTCATAGGAATGAATATAATAAATTTCCATTTTTTCGATATGATATGATTCAATGCAAAGTGAAGAAAACTTTTTTTTGAACATTCTTTTACAGAGACAGGCTATAGCTAAAGTGTGTTCGACTCAAAACAAAAAGGAAGGAAATGTTGTTAACTTTTTTTTTTAGTAAGCAAAATATTTTCTGTCTAACAGAATTCAAGAACAGAAATCGTTTTCTATCAAGGAGAAAGAAAAATTTTTCATAATACGAAAGGAGACTGTATCATAACTAGCATATATATCAGAGCTCGAAATGTGCCGCCCGATCCGAGCTTTATTTCTTGTTTTTTTCGAAGAAGATTTGCCACCAAAAGAAAACAGGAAAAATTTGATTTTTCACGGAAATCTTTTACATGGATTTTGCACATCGCAATTGATAACGATCAGGAATCTTTATTATGTGAACGTGTCCGAAGTTTTATTTAGTCAATAAATGAAAGTAGAGCATTTATTCGGTTCGATGACATTCGTCATCCACACACACAAGATCGTGTGCACTATTAACTGCTTTAAGTGGCACGAGTGTCACTTCATTAAAAGTAGTAACCGATATGACTTTCTGAAATCGAGCAGAGGGCATTTTACTCGTGAAGGACTATGTTAATAAATGATAGTCTTCAAGAAGTTGGGCTTACCCATGAATGCATCTTAGTCTTTGACTTCAATAAGTAATTCAACTTATGTCTCATGCTATTTTTTTTCAAGCATTAAAATTGTCCGGTCTTATTCAGTTCGTGAACACTATGATAATAATCTTTTTAGAATGTTCTAATAAATGAATGCAGTGATTGTGAAGTTCCATTATAATCCGGTTTCGAGGTCTGATACTTACTCTTTAGTTGAGTCCTAACTAGCATCGACCTAGATATGACATATGTTATTCCTTCCAACAAATGCGTTATATATCAAACATCATAGTGATATATGCAAAATTTTACTGATCATGAAACTCAAATGAGTAAAGATTTACGTAGATCAAGTCTTTTTAAAAAAAACGGTTCTATCAAGTTTCGTAACAATTTTTCACTTGAATAGTTTTCCAGATATTTATGATATTACATCAGGCTTACTATCTTTTTTCTTTTATATGTAGACAAACGATGGTTCATCATCGATTCCTCCAGCTAAAATAGCATTTGCATCTAAAAGTGAAATAGCTGCAGCATACATGGCTGGTTCATTAACAACGTCAACATCTTCTCCATTACAATCTACAAATTTACCTATTCTTCTAAATAAATCAACAATAGATATGATTGATTCTTTACCATCAAAAACTGAAGAACAATTATTACCACCGAATCTTCGTTTAAATGATGATATACTCTCAATTCATTTTAATAATATAACATCAAATATAAAAAAACGTCATTCATTATCTGATGCAAGTGATTCATTAATAAAATATTTATCATCAAATCTTGAACAACAACCAATTCATGTTCGTGATGATTCATTAATAAATTCATCTTTATCAGGTACGCAATCTACTATTGCTGCATATGAAAATCTTTTTGATTTACAAACTAATATCAATAATGATGATTCCGATGTAGAACAACAACAAACAATAATTGAATCAGTTAGTTCTGATACACAATCTGAAGGTTCACTTTCTGATGATATTGAGTCAACAATATCATTTTCAACAAACATAACAACATCTATTATTAATCTTAAATCATTATTAAAAACTTCAACAACACCTAAAAATACTACAAGACGCGTTATATTTGATCCGTTAGCACTTCTTCTTGATGCTGCTATTATTGGAGAACTTGAACTTCTTATAAAATCTGCTAAAGAAGTTTGAATTTTCTTTTTTTCTTTTCTGTAAATCTTTCTATTTTTTTTTCAATATTCAGGTGAAAAATCCAAGTCAACCAAATGATGAAGGTTTAACTGCATTACATAATGCAGTATGTGCATCAAATTTTGAATGTGTAAAATTTTTAGTTGAATTTGGTTGTGATATTAATTATGCAGATAATGATGGATGGACACCATTACATTGTGCAGCATCATGTAATAATACATTAATAGTTGCTTTTTTAATTGAACATGGTGCTTGTATTTATGCAACAACTATTCGAGATAATGAAACAGCTGCAGAAAAATGTGAAGAAGAAGAAGAAAATTATACTAGTTGTTCACAATATCTTTTAAGTAAATTAGAAATATTTCATCGTTTAAAGAAAAAAAAACACACAATGATTATTTTATTTTAGATGTACAAAATGATTTGGGTGTGATTAATAATGGATTAATTTATGCTTTATATGATTATGAACCAAATTCTTCAATAGATAATGAACTTGAATTTAAAGATGGTGATTCATTGACAGTATTAAGACGTGGAGATGAAAATGAAAAAGAATGGTGGTGGGCAAAACATGAAAATACTGGAAAAGAAGGATATATTCCACGAAATTATCTTGGAGTAAGTTATCATGAGAGAGAAAATTTTGAAATGTGACTCTTCGACAACATATTTCTATAGAGCTCAATGAACATAATACTAATATATTTACTTCGTTAAAATACTTTAATTTTGTGTAGCATAATTATGAATTCTCCGATTCATCCAGATGCTCTTACCGTATCTTTGATAGCACATTCAATAGGAGTGATATATAAGGTACCTATCATTCAGCTTCTTTCTAAATTTTACTCTTATATAATATAGTCATTACAAGTAAAACTGATCCTTGTCGTTTCACATTTTAACCTTATCTAGGTTATGCCATACTGGTAGTAATTACATAATATTGTAGAACTCACATATTTGCAGCTGTTCCTCCTCTTTCTATTACAAATCTTAGCAACAGACATCAGACTGTTTTTTCAGAGGTCCTTAGCGACGGAAAAAGGCACTGAACGGCATTAATAACAAGACTTAGACTGTCCTAGAAAATTCTAGAACATTTGCTGTTGATATAATAGATATATACAACAGGTTTATTTATCAGACAAATCAATGGTTAGAATAATAAGAATATTAAACTGAGAAAAATAAGGAGCGAATAGCAACAAGATAAACGAAAAAAATTCTGTTCGGAATGCAAAAATAAATAAGACAGATATAGTCTGTGAGAGATTTTTCACTTGGCATGTTTTGTAGTGGTATAATGTGGCTAAAGAATGCATGGGGATTCCACATATCAACCTCAAAGGGGCTGCACTAACAAGTTTTATTTTCAATGTTTTAATGTCATTTCAACTGTTTCTGACAAACATGATTGTCTATGTTAGAATTCATTTTCCTTGTGTAACGTATAGTGCACTCATTGAACAGTTACATTGAAATCGTCGGATTCTAAATTGATCAATAAGATTTGGTATATATTTTTCATCTGCAACATAACAAGAAAAGCGTTTCTATTATCAGAAACAATTTGTGGAACTGTATAAACTAGTAGAAAATCGAGCGTTATCTTAAGGAACCTTTTTTGATTGATTAAACATGCTTTTGTATTATTTTCTAGCTTTATCCAAGAGTGCGACCTGGTACAATGGCATCGACAAATTATTAGTATTATTGTTTTGGTTTATTCTGATTCTCAGGATCTATATGTATATATATACAAATGATAATAATATACTCAATCACTTTTTTTTCCTAAGATTAGTTGTAACAAGTATCGTTTTCTTGATGAATATTTCTTTTGTTTTTTTTTAATACTATCTTCAATGTATATTCTAATAAACAAAGTTATTTGTTTTTTTTTGAATATAATCTTATGCAGATATTAATAATAAATTTTAAAAGGTTATAATGATTGGGAATAATTTAATTCATCTTAAGATATTGATTATTGTTATCATTTTATATTCATTACTGATGAACTTTTCTTTTGTTTTTCATATTAGAAAATATTGTTTTTTTTTGTTATCCTCCGTACATTTTATTTTTTGTTATTGATATGTACGAACATGAAAATTATTTTTCTGTTGAATTTGTTTTATCAATCGGATGTCGATTGAAAGCATAATGAGCAGTTTTTCCTGCAGATCTGCCATTAGAAAATGATGCATGATGTTCAATAAGTATAGCGTTTGTACTTGGTAACGGTCGTTGTACTAGAGGAGGTGGTGTGTGTACAATTGGTGAAGAAGAAGAAGAAGTAACGGGCGATTGAATAGAAACAACTGGACTTGATGCTTGTGGTGGAGCGGAATTTTGAATTTTACGACGTATTCTAAAACGATTTCCTATAGGCATACTATTTGAATTTTCTATGGGATTTGTCATCATGTTAACAGGTGGTTGTTGTATTGCAGTTGGTGGAGGTTGAGGTTTTTCTTTGATCTTATTCGTTGTAGATATGACTCCTATAGCATTGTTTTTATGCCAAAAAGCATTTGGTTGATTTCGTTGTACGAATTGAGAAGAAACTGGTTTTGATATTTTCATTGGTTCATTAATAATATTATCTTCTTGTGATGAAATCGATGTAACTTCGTCATCATTATCATCATCATCACTATGTATTTGTCTTTTTACTATTTTTGTTGATGATATTTTTTCATAGGATCTTTCTCTTGGAGTTGGAGTACGTAATTTAACTTGAACTTTTTCATCAAAATTAACTGATTTATTTAATGTAGATTCTTTTTGTTTTAATAATGAAAGTTTTTCAGTCTTTCCTCCTCCTCCTCCTCCTCCTCCTTTAACATGAGATTTTTTTAATGCACTTTTTACGTAAGGTAATGTCGGTGGTGAAGTTGCGATAACAACAGGTGGAGATTTTATTTTTGCTTGTTGACACCCCATGAGATGAAAAAAAGAAGATGTGTATAAAGAAAATAATCGATGTCAAAGCAACTAAAAACATCAATAAAATCATTAGTATTTTTAGAATCAATAATATGGATAGATGAAAGAAATCAACAAACTTTATTTTATTTTAATCAAACAAAATTCTTCATTGAGTTTAAAAAAAGATTTTATTTGTTTTTCCGCTTTTCCAATAACCATTTTCTTATCGTTTTAATTTATTTATTTCAATATAAGCCATACTCTATGTTTCATTATTTTTCTTTTTAAACAACGAATTAATAAAATTTAACTATGTACTCACATGTCCTGATTATAAATCACTGTCGTTACTATTGTTGCTGATGAAAATGTCTATGTAGAAGTGTAAACGTTTATAAAAATCGAACTTGACTCAATGATGCTGTATAGAAGCAAGAAAAAAGAGAACGATTTTAATCATTTTCTTTTCTTCATTTTTTTCTGTCAATAATAGTAAACGATGGAAGAAAAATGTGTTGATCAAATTATAATCAGAATGAAACAAGTTTATAATGGCAGGCAAAACCTTTTTTTTTAACAATTGAAGAAGAATAAATTAATATATGTTGAATCTAAGGGGAACAAAACGAAAGCCTAGATAGATCTTCAAACGTATGCCGTCTGATGGAAACAATTGACAGATGCATTAAAACAATGAATATGAATGTCCGAAAGAAAAGACTTCATGCCTTCAAAATAAAGCTTTCTACTTCATGGCATAGATAAAACCGGTCTAGTTTTTTGACAGCCAGTAGCGGGACTGGTCTGAACAAGTCAGACCAGACTAGACCGGCTGGTATACCAGTTTGACCGGTCTACCAATAATAAACTGGTCTATCGGTACATGTGGGTCCACCGATGTCGGACTCATAGATCGACCGGTTTAAAACCGGCACCAGCATCGAACCGTTATTACTACTTCTAGCTATGATTAAATATGTACAACAAAAAATTATAGAATTGTTTATACCGAACGTATTAAAGGTTTTTTACATAATTTGTTTGCGTGAAATGCCAACAAAACTTCATTACATATTGAATGAACAACATCAATTAGGAGCCATAAGAATGTTGCAAGAGTCTCGATGAAAAGAACAGAAAAGTAAAAAAGTTAATCCGGTAACTATCTACAGATCGGCAGTAAGCCGTTAAATCAGTAACAGATTGGTAAAACCGATAACAGATCGTTAGGCCGGTAAATAATGATAGACCGCCAGACGAATATAGAATCAGTAGACCGGCAGATCTAAAAGTTCTGACCGGATTGGTTGGCTGCTGGTACCGATTCCATCTATACTCCATGGATTCAACAGTGACTCTTCGGAGTCTGCTAGGAACTGAAATTGTGAAATTTGATTTTTCTTATCTAATCAAACGTATCTACACTGAAAAGCTCAGTCAGTGCCAATTGATTACTGTTCGTATAAAATCTCATCACTCTGAATATACATTAAGAGTACCTAGTTGAACATACATCAATATCATGACTCGATCAAATGCATTTATATAAGTGAGTAAGTGAAAGTGTAAGGTGAACACTGATTATTCATTTAGGAACCCATGTGGATTTTATCGAATTTCATTACAAAATGCGTACGAATTCAAGTCAAATTTCTTTAATCAAAATATTTTCATTATAAAAATAAAGCTGTATGACCAGAACGATTTAATTCACTTGTGTAAGAATAAAGGGAACAGACAGATACGTAACATATCCCTATTAGTAGTGGCGAATAAATTGTTCTCTTGTATTACCTTAAATCGTATCGGAAATTGATCAACAAATAGCTATTAGAACAACAAGCTGACTGTAGATTAAATAGGTTCATAATCGATCAAATATTTAGCTTACAACTTACATTAGAAGAGTGTAGATAATACAACAGATTGTTGTATTTTTTAAAATTTAATGACCTTCAAAAAAGCGTATGATTCGATGCACCCAGAACTGCTATGAAAAATATATGAATAGTACGATTAGACTGATAGAATTGTTCGTATGTTAAGACTGCTTTTTAAGAACAAAAAAAAACACAGGTTACAATCAATGATAAATTATCACACCGTTTTGACATAGACAATGGTGCTACACAAGTAGGGCGTGTGTGGATATGAGTGTGAGTGAAAAGAAGACTCACACCCACACCCCATCTTTTTAGTTCCCTTAAAGTCCCATCGTTTGAAAAAAGTGGGTGTCATTTTTTTTCTAAAATTCTGTTTGAAATGAAAAAGATCATAGACTCACAAGATCAGCAATGCAAGATATTTCTTGGTTTTTTTTCCTGTCAATCAATTAGGATCTAGACTGATCAATACTGTTGCTGATAAATTTAGATTAATATATTGGTAGTTTTTCAATAGATTATTCACAAAAAAAAATTTGTTATGAAATACTATTAATAGTAAACGTATCTTATACTTTCATCCAAACTGATGCACAATTATTATGAAATGATCCAAAGTTTTTCTTTATGTCGAATAAATTCGGTGCCAAGTTTTATTTGCTATCCTCTTGAAATATTCGAGCAAATAGTGACTCTATATTGTGACTCGTGAATTGTAACTGTTCTAACGGAGGGCTATCAGATTCTATTTGGTGGCATTTGTCCAACCTAACGGCGGTTTCTTCGAATTTGCCTTGTTTTTGATATACTTCAGCGATATCTCTATACGTTAGTGCAAGATCATGTGGCCTACAGTCAGAATTCATTTGTTTGGCGTGAAGACATTTATATAAATATATCTAAAACTTTGTCGGTTTCATTCAGTTCTAAATAAAAATTTGCAATATTATCATATAGCGAAAGGATATCAGGATGAGACGATGGTAGATTTCGCAGCACAAGCTCTAGTGCACACTCGTAAGAAAGCATTACTAAAAAATAACTGATGTGTTAGGCTCCTCTCCTGTTATCCAGTTTTGGCTATTAGTGATTCCGATGTGCCCTGTGACTGTCTGCTTCTACCAAACTCTCTGTCCCCATTGAACCAGATGTCCTTTATAAATACTTTCTAGCAATGCAGTGCTTCATTATATTTTTTGAAATCATAGTATAGAATAGATCCCATACTATCATATGAATAACCAACTCTTGTATAGCCAGGCTGCGAACTGCTTAATTCAAGATTAATAGCTATTTGATAATGATTAATTGCTTATTTCGTCTGATCGAGTGTCGTAGCACTTACTGCTACAGTATTATAGAAAGAAGCAAGTAGTGGATCATTTTTGTCAATATGTTCTGTGACCGTATCTAGTGCTTGCTTATAATGATCCAATGCCAAAGCGTCATTGCCTTGGTTAGCGTACATCAAACCCAAGGTATCATGTAATGTTGCTATCAATTCTCATTCATTTTCTGACTGAATATTCTTTTGATAGAGTTCAGTTGCTATTTTGTATTCGCCTATTTAAGCGAATAGACGATAACGAGAAATAAGTGGATTCTGATGTTGAATTGGAATCATTTTTCTCATGTGAATAGTTAATTTTTCTATAGTGTCGTCTTGATCACTAGTGAGCGTCAAATTTATTGACCAAATGTCATCAAGTAATTCTATTTTTGCCAATACGAAAAATTGTTCTCATAAAAAACAACCATTCACGTTCATCTGCTCCAATATGACTGAATTCTTCGATACAAACGAATAACTTGTTTCATCATTTAAATTGAGTATAATTTGGAAAACCATAGCCATTATTTCATGATCAGACTTATCTGCATAGACACGTGCTACTTCTCGATTTGTACTTGATGACAGAAAATTCGAGATTGAAAGTAGTCCACCTTCGTTATTCTTTAACTTCTCAAATTCATCAATCGACATTCTTTGACCGCGATAGAGAATTAATGTTTTAGCATGATGTGGACTTTCTCTGGTAGTTCGATGAAGTCTAGCTAATTGCTGATGAAGGTGTCGAATGAATGTGCGCATTTTGTATAACGTTTCGACATGTTGTATGCGAAGCGCTTTGTTAGTTATTTTATAAAGAAACGAATCTCTTGTATCTCACCAAATAGCTTTGTTCGCGTTATAATTCTTCTCAAATTCATCAATCAGCGCAAGTTGAAATGGATTATTCACGTAAAAAGTTCGACAATATTCGACTAATTCAGATGTGCTATCATCTTGAAATTTCATTGAAACGTCTTTTGATAATTGAGAATACATAAATGAACATTCTTGCTTATTTCGATTTTTTGAAGATTCAGAAGGAATCTTTTATGTGTGTCCAATTTCGTATCCTAAAAGATTATATTCATTTCAACGAATATCAGATTTTATCTGTTTCATGATTTGAATTATGTTAGCAGAAATACTTTGAATCTTTCCAATGGACTTTATGGAGTTTTGGCAAACATCGTCTTCTGTTGAGCACAAGATATAGACAGCTGGAACAATTGAATGGTCTTGAGCGAGACTAAGAATACATTGATCAATCGGCTGCGAGATAATAAAGAGAGCACATTCGTCTTTTAAATTATCGATGTAATCTATACAAGCGTCAGGATCACTAAATATTTTAACATCGTTCACAATTACTTGCAATTGTTTGATTACATTTTCTATGTTGCTACTTATTTTAAATCTCAAATCGAGCCAAACAATGACAAAATTCTCCGCATACCGTCGTTTATATTCCGATGACCTTGTATGTATATATGTTGCTTTCATTTCACTCGAATCCGGATTTATATTGCTTGAAATTTTGCAATTTAACCATACAATAGTTCTTTTGATTTCAATCTGGATTTAGAAGAAAAAAGACTCGATTTCAAAATGAAACGGAGGACTTGCGAGTCTTTAGAATTTTCATTATGATGTGTATGCTATATACCCCTATCTTTTTAGGGTACGGGTCTTGTGAG